TAAATGCATTTAGCCTAATATTGAAACAATGAAGCTGCTTTGAGGGATATATTTCTACATTATATAGCATTTTGCAGCCGGAAGCCTTTGTGTTTGAATTTAGTAAGCTGCAGCAATAACCAACTACATGGACGACACTTTTCCTTCGAAATTAAAAAAATTGCTGCACTATTGCCTTTCTACGGCGGTTACTTTGGGTTGATGAACACCATTGTTCAAATATATATTTTCTTTAATACAATAAGCGTGTGAACCAGTCTATGAGATAAAAAAATAACAAACGTTGCTAAACAAAGAATAAGTATAGAAACAGATTCTCGTACAGCAAGGATTTCTCGTTCWACTAATATAAAACATATGAGCTTCGCATTCAATTATCTTTCGGTTGCTTAAATAAACAGTATTGAAAAAGCAAAGTTTGGGAAMATKTCCATTTTTTGTTGGCTGGACTAAAAAACTGAGCTTGACGTGGTTTCAACGGAAAATATTATAAATATTTTGAGGAAAACCGATTTATTTGGCGCACAACCACCAATTTTATAAATTCGGGATCCCGTTCCATTTGGGTTTGCATTTATTGAGCTAAAATTGGAAAAAAACTATTTACTGGCAATTTTCACAACAGTTTCAGGTGGAGAAACACAAAAATGCATTTATTTCCAATAAAATCTGGAATAACAGCTGTAGATTCCATATTATATATTAGTTTGCACAAAATTACCACAAAAGCTGGAACGGTTGTAAATACTTCCGACGCAAGTAAAATATATACACTGAGCAAACAGTTTATTTATGAAAACAAAAACTTGGATTCAATGGGCCTTTTGGGGCTCCTCAACAAAACCCAGAAGCTCAAATTAATTCAGACAACACCAGGCAAAGTTTGCGACAATAAATGCTTTTAAACCGCATGCCCGTTTCATCAACGTGAAAAAATCTGCGTCCTCTGCCAGTAGTTTGAGTTTAGTTCGCAGGTTTATTTACGAAATTTTTAACTTTTCGCTGCAAGATATTCAAATTAATGGTCTAGTTTTAAGTAGGACTGGCTGTGATTTAGGGCAACCCATTTACATCTCTCTGCGTCTTCACGAAGTAAAGCTATAACTCACTTAGAACAAACGCAAAAGCGACCTTTGTTTCCTTGGCTCTATGAAAGACGTTCAACTAAAACAATAACCCCAAGAATAGAGATAGCATTTTCACTAAATTCGTATGGAAATTCTTTGTGTGGGGAATTTGAATGCTGAGCGTACTTTGATTGGTTGACTCGATATACAGATTATTCAAATGCCTCGCATTTAATTGATTGATTTTTATGCATCTAACGCTTCAAAATCGGCCTTATTTACAGCTCTTTCATCCCCAGCGACTTCACGGTTTTTCTCAAATAGCAACCCAGACTGTGACCAGCGATATAAAAAAAATCTGGATCAGCAATTCGGTAATAAATGTAGCTTGGATTGGGACTCAGAACATGTCATTGGATGCCTCCTATCGATTTGCGACAAGTGATGTGGACGCTTTACTATTTACCCGTCGAAATGATATGTTGATGTTTGCCAAACAGTGCCGGGTTTCGACATTCGAGAACTAATGCATCGAATCTGATACGGCGGAAGAAAAAAATGTAAGCTGTGTTCATTTTTTTTCTGATCCAACACTTATCGAAAACGGAACACTTTTTCCACTACTACAAGACAAACTATCGCATAAACAATCAACAAACTGACCGAGAAAAGGTCCTCCATCCGGTAATAATCACAATTATAAAAAGAATTCGATTATGTCCAAAGTGTCATTAAGGCGCTAAACTGTTCCGAATTTAATTATTCCTGGGTCTCCCCATCTTTGAACAATGACAACGAGGAGAGGACCAAAGAATGTCTGTTCCGGCCTCATTATTTCAAGATGTCCTCCAACTTTAAGTGACTTCCGAGGGTGATTTTACACTATTTCAGTTAATGAAATTTGGCCCGACTAGCTTGAGAGATTTTCGGGATGTGACGACTGTCGGCCCTTTAACATTCCTCACCAATTGCCTGTGAACCTCGCTGGATAATCTTTTTCGGTCCGATATGGAAGGAAAACAGACGCTTCTTTTCGCCGGGAATGTCAATAGTTAAGCAAGACTGAAACTCAGATCAGAAATCAACCACGGTTGCGGACGAAAGCAATCAAAACTTTCCATCTATTGGCATACTACCTTTGAGGATGAGTGACACAGATGCAGGCGAAACGTATGATTGAACCGTAACTGACTTTAAAAAATTTCAAGTTGATTGTCGGGAGTTGAGAATTTTTTTCGGCGACGCTTCATTTCCGAGATTTTCATAGTCAAACTTTCCAAATCAATTATAAATTTGAGGCCGATTTTTTCAAAAAATATCAGGTCTTTCAGTAAGCTTGACTTTCGGCACAAAGACGTACGAAAAGCAACGAGCGCGTTTCAGATCCGAAATAATCGATTTTTTTATACATTTAACGGGCGTATTGAGTGCTCACGATCTTTAATACACGAAATCTTCTTCTTTATAGACCCAAACACTTTATATATGCACATTGGGTCGCTTGTCACGTTAAAAGCAATAGATTGAGCAAAAAAATGTTCATGTGAAATTTCGATTTTTGACCGAAAACTTCATAAGGGGTTGAGGTCGAATTTTTGAAAAATTATAAATTATTG